GCTTTTGATATGTACTTGTATCGCCATATTCTGCAGGTATCCTGGATGGATAGAATATTGAATTAGGAGGTGTCCATGTAGATAGGCAGAGATAAAGAGCTCGTATCAACGGTTAAGGAAAGGGAGCTACAGTAATTCATCAGAGGTGAACGATACGAGGTGATCAGACTGGTCATTGGAAGTAAAATTGAGGGCAGGAGATCAGTGGGAAGAAGGCCAAACTCCTGGCTTAAGGCTCTGCGTCGTTGGTTCGGAAGAGCATCTATTGAAATTTTTAGATGCTGGTGATAACCAGTTGGATGAGCAATCTCCAAAGAGTGACGGCGACCTAAAAAGAAGAGGAATTATTAAATAGAATTTGTGCAAAAATGGGCATAGTACGGACTGCATAAGCCATTTAACCTTAAAGATCATATGCTCGATGAATTATTTTATTTTCGTTTTATGTATATCTAGATGGTTATCTTTCCAGTTAACTATTTTCAGAGAACTTAATTGATACGAAATAAACCTTGATTACCTGTCACTGTCTAGCAGACGTTTCGAGGACGAATAGCAATTATAGGAGAGCAAAAGTAGACATAAAAATACATAATCATTTGTTGATAATTTTACGAATTACTGTAAATTTATTTTTCATACAGCACTTTTCGTTAATGACGATAAGTCACATTGACCAGTATTAGAATTGGATTTTGTCGATTGCTGGTAATTTGGTAGTATATATCTTTTAAATTTATATGTGTTTTTTATGAAAAACTTTAAGAAAAGTAATAAAATCAAACGATACTGGCACATTTTACCTTCAACCCATTCGAAGCAAACTTCTGAAAATTAAACTTTTTATATAGCATCGTCCTAGCATCGTAAAGTCACCACAAATAATACCTGGTATTACCTTCAGTGAACCTTTCATCAGTGTCAGGGTCGCCTCGTAAAATTTCTCATATCCTCGTAAAACTATCTCGAAGAAAAATTACCGCATTAAATATGAGGATGCTGCAGTCAGATATTAAGAAGAAAGGTGATATAGGATATATGGTATTATTTCGATAATTTTCGACATTGGGTTCTATATTATTCATTTATACATATTTTTTGGTACTTTTAAAACTATAATACATGCCTGGTATTAATAACTGTCATGCAGTTAATTTCACTTTTATGGGTACTTTAAACCTGGAGTTCAATGTCAAACTATTCGTGGAAGACCGCAGAGTGGCAGAAACACAATTTAAAATACAATATGATCAAAGTGAATACAAAAACTCGTCGGCGATGCCTATGACTGTGATCAGTCGTTTTATATGTAAAATCATTATACAGGGTGTTACAGAAATAAGTGCAACTGTTTTAAGGGGTGGTTTGGTTTGGTTTGGCAACCAAATCGCAACCAAAATAACCGCGTTATTTTACTTTGAAACTTTTCAAAAAAAAGATTTTTTGCTAAAATTTTGAGAACCACTGGATCTTTTCTGGATTTTCTTTTATGTAAATTTAAGCTACTACCTATGTTGCCATATTATCAAGAAATTATGTTTTTTAATATATGGATTTATTCTCCTGTGATTTGATTCTTCTCTGATATTATTCTTTATTATTTTAATAAATTAAAACCAAAGTTGACTTATTACCACAAGGCAATATTAAAATTGTATTTGGTGTATTGAATATTCATTAAACATTCGAAAGCCTATGAAAACATTTTATTTCGAAAGTCACCAAAATATGTTGTAAATTTTACTTTTCAATTCATTTTAAAGTATTTGTATGCAAATTAACAATAATTAATAACAGTCATGTGTATAACAATTTTACTTACTTTTGTCAAAGTAGATGAGATAAACTGAATATAAATAAAAACAGGGCAAGAGGACAAATAAGTTGGTATGGCCAAAAAAAATTGCAGTCTCTTTAAAAAATGAACAACTAGTAATTTCGGTGTTGGTTATTTCCATCAAATAAGAGCATGATTATTAATGCCAGACCTTTTAATTTAATGATATGGTTAGATAACTGCTTCGTAAATTGCTGAATTAACACTTCGATCATCTTTCGTAGTATATTTAAAAATTAC